CCCGTGAAAATGAACATGGGTCTACAACAGGCTCCTAGGTTTGGTATCCTAAAATTTCAGAATTTTTGAAATTTTCAGATATTTTTAATTCTACTTTCATATAGGGGTGTGTGGCATCCAGGTGCTCCAATGCATTTCTCCTCATACCCATGCCTATTTTTATTATAAGTGTTTTCAGTGTCATCTTGATTTACGATCCGGCCAAAAGCAGGAACTAATTATCTTGCAAAATCTTGTTAGAAACCCATGCTTAAAGGGCATCATCCTCTTGTGGGTTCGATCACTCCGGGTCACCTCTAGAAAAAAGATGAGAATCACTTATGCTCCTTCACCGGGACAGTAAAGGGACTAATCACCTCCACAAGGTTTACAACATGTTTACATAGTTGTAAATACAACCTCCACAAGCATGTTATATCACTACGGGGCTACTCGCCGCTAATCCGCATACTCAAACCATCAAAAAAGAAGTCAAGATCACCCTTAAATAGACCCGCTGATCTCCATGTTTGTCCTTCATGATCAATATCCCACAAAGCCTGCACTAGTGATGGTGTTGCTCCATCGAATACTATGGCACTCCGGTGCTTCCAAAGCTCCCGTAAGCATAGAGTGATGATCGTCTTGAGGTCCCTTCACGAGCATTATGCTGCTACTCGTGTGGTACACCACTCCACCAGCTCATCGGTCACCACCGAATTCACTCATTTAATCAAGGGGTGAACCAAGCATGTTTTAGAAATCCCTCATCTCCCATTAATTAATTTTATAGGTCAGATTTTCCCTAGTTATTGCACATCTAAGTGACTCAATCAAACTAGAAAGAAAGAGGAAAAATAACAAAAAATACTAGCACGAATCTTAGCGTAAAATCAATGACATAGGACTTAAATGTGCAATACTTAGAGCACATCTAGATGTGCTTTAGCAATTTGGCCACTAATTCCCCCACTAATCGGGGAACTAGCCTATGTAATCGGACCATTTTCTCCCACTAATTCCTCAATGAATGTCTCACGAATTCCACGATCTCTCCCCATTAATTTCGGATGCACCGGCTCCCTCTTTACCCTCTCCTTATTAGTGCTCGACTCGGTTATTGATTTCACTCGCATCCATATATAAACTAGTAGAACGCCCATGCATTGCCACTGGCCTTTGATTTATTTTTTCTGGTTACACCTTTGAATACAATGCATATCAAATTTCATATGTATAGTTTTTTCCCGATTGTGCATATAATGTATATCATATTTCACATGTATTCGCGTGCATAGAAAAGATAGCCCGCAACAATTAGAAAAATAATTGAGTTCACCTGCAATGTAACTCGATGATGTATACATAGAGAGCAATGATCCAAATAATTATATGTTATAATTGACATATACCTTAGGATCCTCATGCAAATCACATGGGTTTGTCATCATCATCTTCCCCCATGTTGGTAATCATCTTTTTTCCTCCCATCGTGGTGTCCTTCTCATCGTCGTTGAATAGCTCAGTCAGCAACGCATTCTTCTTTAGAGCGAACCCTGGCCTCGATGCTCCATCAGCTGCCTTGTGAGAGGGTACATGTTGTTGATGTTTATGGCGACAACAACATCGAGCAGGGCCAAAAGGTTATTGATTCTCTCAATCTCCTCCCTATGACCGCCATCGCCATCAACGGCACTGCCAACATCAACATCTTCTCATCTTCCTTCCAAGCACATTGTAAATAAATTAATCTCAATCTGGTATCTTATCAACTTACTAATTTATTTTCCCAAAAAATAAAGATAAAGTAAATTATATGAAATTATCTACTTCCTCTGTTCTTAAATACAAGTCTTTTAAGAGATTTTAATATGGACTACATATAGAGCAAAATGAGTAACATACACTCTAAAATACGTCTATATTCATCGGTATGTAGTCCATATTCAAATCTCTAAAAAGACATAATTTTAGGAACCGAGGGAGTGGCAATTTTCTCAGGGACCAGTTTTAAAATAATAATAAATAGTTGAGGTCGCAACAAAGTAAATTATGAAACAAGTGCTCAAGTGTATTCATTTGGCTAATTTAACTGGTCCTAGCTAGGAGATCATTGTAAAATTGCACCGGACGCAAAAATGGAAATAAATTATAGAACATTAATAGGAAATCATTTTATAGCTTGTAGACATAAAAGTGGCATGTACATACAAACATATTTAATTTTGGGATCCCAAAACCCCTTCACTGCCATATACTCTACAAATTGATGAACTTTTATAAAATTCGATGAACTTTTTTTAAATATGATCGAACTATTTTTCAAATGTTCAATGAACTTTTTCCATATTCGATGAACTATTTTTTGAATTCGACAAACTTTTTCAAATTGAACAAACTTTTTTCAAATCTAACGAACTTTTTTCAAATTCGATGAACTTTTTCCAAATTCAATGATTTTTCTTCAAATTCGATGAACTTTTTCCCTCCAAGTCGATTAACTTTTTGTCTAAATCCGGTGAACATTTTTCAAATTCGTGAGCTTTTATTCAAAAACTGGTGAACCTTTTTTCGATTTTTGTGAATTTATTTTCGAAAGCGATGAACTTTTTTAATGTTCGTGAATTCTTTTTCAAATATATATTTTCTTTTTCCGAATAATTTATACTGGGACTGAGAAAAGGTCGAATAGATCTCTGTTCGTATATAAAACATGAAAGTGCTCGCGGTGGAGTGGGCAGTGCGTCAAGCCTGTCGACATTCGCGTGTGCGTTCGAATCAAACTTCATTTTCAATTTTTGTTTCTTGATCATGTTGCTGACGCAGCCGATGCTGGGCCAGTCCACTGTCTCTCGCCTTCGAGCACCCTCTAGCCTAAGCGGCGCTGAGGGCGCCGAAGAGGAGCTCTCCTGATGGAGTGCCGGTTTGTACTAAAAATATAAGTTCTTTTGTAAAATACGTATGATGGATCAAGAATATCTATTCTCTTTAGTAGTAGATAGGTAAATAGATAAGCGATGGATCTCTTAGCAACAAATCTCTCACAACATTTTTACAAATATATAATTAGTAGAGATAAGATTAAGATTTCGGCTCCGCACCGGTTGCTTGAACCAAAAAAAAAAAACATTCATGGAGGATGATGGGTCCTTACAGTCGCTCACAGTGAAGGATGAGTAGTATACATGAGTCACCGCTGTTGATACACAAGCAAAAGGTGTCGTCGCCATCGTTGATTAGATGTCACTGCTGTTGGTACAAGACTAGCCGCCGGGCCCACAGTCGACAAGGAGGGGGAACCAGCTAGTTTCTTTCGTATTCGAAGATTTAAAAGAGAGCTCATTTGAGCTCGGAAGCGGAAAGGTCTGACGAGCGGAGAAGCCACAAATATTTTCACAGCTCCTCATCTGATCTGTACAACTATTTTCTCAGACGCAGAGTTTCTGCACCCGAGCTCAAGTAATCGCGCCCGACTTGGCCTGATGATGGATGCGCTCCTGGCTTCGGCGCGTTGACTTTCTTCCTCATAGTACCGCTATGCGGACGCCACTAGGTGGCTTTTTTTTTCTATTTCTCTTTTGCTTCCTTGGGCTTGATTGTGCTGTGGCCCCAGCAATGATATGTCGAGTGTTGTTGAACTTGGATTGTATGGATCGTTGCTTTATTTATAAAGCGGGACGAAAGCCTATTTCGAGCTCAAGTGAACAGTAAAATCGAAATAAAATCAGAAAAAAAAATCAAAAAAATTCCAAAAACAAAGTTTGGGTGTAACATCGACAAAAGTTGTAAGTGCTTGCAATTTTTTTTTTGTTTTTTGATCATGTTGCTGACGCAGCCGATGCTGGGCCGGGCCACTGTCGCTCGCCTTTGAGCGCCCTCTAGCCTAAGCGGCGCTGAGGGCACCGAAGAGGAGCTCTCCTAATGGAGTGCCGGTTTGTACTAAAAATATCAGAAGTTTTTTTGTAAAATATGTATGATGGACCAAGAATATCTATTCCTTTTATTAGTAGAATATGTAAATAGATAAGCGTAGGTAGTTTCTTTCATATTCGAAGATTTAAAAGAAAGCTCATTTGAGCTCGGAAGCGGAAAGGTCTGACGAGTGGAGAAGCCATAAATATTTTCGCAGCTCCTCATCTGATCTTTACAACAATTTTTCAGAGTTTCTGCACCTGAGCTCAAATGAACAGTAAAATCAAAACAAAATCAGAAAAAATTCAAAAAGTTCCAACAAATTTGGGTGAAACATTGACAAAAGTTGTAAGTGCTTGCAAAAATTCGTCTTGAAGTCACATTCCTAGAAGGCGTGGCAAAAAAAAAAAACAAAATCAATAATCTGAAAATGCTACTTTCAAAAACATTTTGGAGCACTGAATTTGTTTTTTTGTGCCACGCCTTACATGAATGTGATTTCATGACGAATTTTTATAAGCAGTTAGAACTTTTGTCAATGTTTCTCCCGGAAAAGAAATTGATTTTTTTTTACTGTTCACCTACCTTATTTGAGCTCGGGAGTAGAAAGGTACTTTCGCGCGTTGTTTCTCTGTTTTTGACTAGATTGTCATCATTTCGGCAAGGACGGAGATAATGCGAGGACGCCAAACGTAGTACCAAAGGCTGAAGAGCAATCCAAGCTCGAAAGTAGGGAAAACAGTGTGCATTTCAGAAGCGCTGGCGATTTGTCTGACGAGCAGAGAAGCCACACAAATATTTTCGCAGCTCCTCATCTGATCTGTACAACTATTTCCTTTGGGAATATACAACAAATGCTCATCAAAACGAACATACAAAGAGCCACGAAGTAGCGAAATGGGGAAATCCCTAATCTACAACCCGTGACATAGAAAGCATGCCTAAAGGCCGGGCCTACAAACAAATTGCCTCCAATTCTACGCCCAAAGTGTGGTGAATTGTGATGGAAGAAGGATGCACAGGATTTCTGCAAATGGCAGACGTCCTCCATGCACCGCCAAGGAACAACATAGCCTGACCAACGTGTCTTGATTTTGTCTCAGTGCATTTCATGTTATGACCACTTCTAGTGATTCTTGTGAGGCCGGTCTGTTACCTCTACCCCCGGTACGATCACGATGCATGGGAAGTATCCAATGCGGTGAACGACTGGCAGAGCTCTCAGGGTGGCCAAATAATTGAGGGAGGCTACGGGCAGGGGAAGCACTGGCTTTTCCACCCGGTAAGTCCAACGAGATTCGGCATATTGGGCAGGTCGTTTGCTTCTCTAACCATATATCTATACAGGAAAGATGAAAATTATGTCGGCATGTGGGCATTATACGCAGGATCTCTTTCTCGTCGTATTCACCCAAACATATGGAGCACCTGCAGAAGAAAGAAAAATAAAGAAATCTGTTACTTGTTTGATTCGGAAGTCGGATAATAGTATGTGAGCGTTATACACCCATATCGCAGCATACATAAAGAACCATCATCAAGCGGGAACAGAATCCCAATTATCACTTGAATATATTACTGTTTAGTTGCAAATGATATGGACAAGAAATGAAGAAAAACATATGTCATTTTCTATTATTCTTTTCACCAAAAAAAATCTTGAACTGAACTTTAAAGAATTAAGAATATGACAATAAAGAATGCTACTTATGCCTATCTAGTACATAATTCAAGCCAAGTACACATATATGTAAATAATCATGATAATATACTTACCGATCTGAGGATGGTATAATTTAATCCATTTAAGAGTTTCATTACTAAGATGTCACAAAGGGTCATGTTGGATTAATATCGGTGGACTCATGTTCAGGCTTTTCTCATTTCCTTTCCGCAGTTGAAAACAACGAAAAGAAGAACAAGGAACAGCTCTTGTAATTCTTATCTCAGAAACATAATAGTACTAGTCCATATTACGCTTAACAGCTTATAATTGTCAACTAAAATAGCTAGCCCAGAGAGGTGCATTTTTATTCAGCTGTAGCATTTCAGTTTCTAACTGAAGCCCCTTGACCAGCTGTCTAGACTACATGCTTCACAACTCATAACTCACCTAATATCAAATATTAGTAATATTTGAAGGTTCGAGCATTGGATCATCACAAATTAACAATGTTTTCCAGCTGTATGGCGCATCTATTACACATTGTGTTTCTCTGCACGCTAACTGACACCAAATGTTTTGAGGGAACAAAAAAGATAAACAGAAGCAGAAAAAATTGCAACAAGTTAACTCTAGAACATATGGTGTACTTACTGGGCATCATCTTTTGAATGGAAGGCTTCAGAGCTATACGTCATTGTTGGAATTGCAGCAACAACGAAAGGTTCCAATCCACTGCAGGTGTTCTGAATCTGTTGAACAAAGGAAAATGAAGTGTGTCAAGTTCAAAACTATCAGATAACTGTCAGTATACTGACTCATACGATTACAAAGCCCAAACATAATTTCCATGATTAGTATAGAATATTTAACTGAAAGCCCTCTAAGGAACATGAGGATCATCTTACTCTCTAAGAGTGCCTGCATGATTAGAACTTAAATGGTTTTAGTCTGCCAAAGAATGGTATGCTTGACTGATTACATAAGTTACGAATCAACTAGAATAAATTCCTCAATTATATATAAGTGCAGAGGATTTGTTATTATCAGTTTTCTCTAATTATCAGGCATCGAACTATGGACGAAAATGTGGGAAGGGGCATAATGTGCTCCATGCATACCATTGCGAGGAATTTTGGCAACGCAAATTAAACTCACCATAACTTCTACTGAGGAGAAATTAGAGTACCATAGCAAAATAGATATAATGTTTTGAGTTTTCATGATAGACGTATAAAAAACGTTGTGCATCAATAGGTTCTTGAAAGGCAAATATTTGCATTTGTGTACAGTCATTTCAACTCAAAAGTTAGCCTGAGTGCATGACTGTAAAGGTTGATATTCCAAAGGACACCGTGCTGGCAAGAATCCGATTCTAACTTCTCTCAAGCAATTCAGAATACACTTTATATACAACACATTCAAAGTAGAGAAGTTCAATCACCTGTCGACCAACCTATCTAGACGTACATAAGAAAGTGATGTCTGAAACCAATCAGACATAAAAGCAAACCATTTAAGACATTTCAATATTGAGGCGGTGACATTGTCCATAGTTCAGATTAACATTGCAAATGACCATTCCATAGAAATGGTAGTAAATAATTTTGTAGTTCGTAGTTTAGATCTTTCCCTCTTTTTGGCAAGACCGTAGTTTGATCACTTTGTAATAAGTGATGTAATAATTATGGCTGTATGCATCATATAATGCAAAGGCCAGGGGTAATAAAAGGTAAAAGCTTCCATTATATAAATAATAATAATAATTTTGTAATACTATTGGACTGATAATGACTGCATAAATTTTGAAAAATAAATCAATGTAATTTTCTTCAAAAATTTCCGGAGTTAATGTGCTTAGTCAAGTTAGTGAGCTTGCAACTTCATGTAAAGAGTTGGTAAAGAACAAGGAAACATAAACAGTGTGAGAATTAAAGGGAATTAAGGATAACAAATGCCAGATAGCAATGTAGCTCGAAGAAATGTAGCACGGAAGATAGAAGCAGACCTCTCATACTAAGGTCTTTAATCAATGGAACTATTAGTACTGTTAATTGAGAAATTGGCCCCCCAAATAACATCCGCAACCTGGTTTAGCAATGCCATTTTTTTCTTTCCTTTTGAGCCTACCCCAACTTGTTTGAGACTAAAGGCTTTGTTGTTGTTGTTGTCTTTTTTTTTAGCCTAGTTGTTGCGTGTTGGTCTTTGAGGTGCATTGTAATATTTTTAAAAAGAAAATGCATGATCATTTTATAATTTCTTATAAAAGCCCCTTATGTTAATCATGCAAAAATAAGTAGCATGCACATGCAACACTGATGTTGTGAGCGAGCAATACATCTGTACAACTTCAATTACATGAATTAAACTTCATTTTTTATCAGTTAGACGAAATTAAAGGAAGGAACCATTCATCATGTATTCATTTGAGGTACTTCAGCACTTTCACTGATCAGTCGACTATCTCACATACTGGTTCATATAAAATATTCTGCACAATTGAACTTGTCGTGTAGGCTAAAACATAAAAAGAAATGCGGCCAACGGGAGGCTCCAGGAAGCAAGCATCTCCGGAACCTCTGTTAAAGCCAGATTATTTTCTTCTAGCTCTAATGAATCAACACACATCAAAGTTTTTGCGTGTTGTACGCCAATACCAACCAACGGTCTCGATCGCAAATTTGGTAGGCTGGCAGCAACACATGCGCACGCCGATCTCCATCGGATGCGGTTCCACTCCGACATCAATCGGCTGCACATGACAGGATGCTAATAGAGTACGCTACCAGTTGCGGAAACGACAGAGGCTCACCGTGCGATCGAGATCCGCGGTGCGGAACTCGATGTCGAAGTCGAAGGGCGCGGGGCCCGGAGCCATGGCCCGGGCGGCGGCGACGTCGGCCTCGGCGTCGGCCCGCACGGCGCGTCCGCAGATGAGGCGTGCGCAGACGAAGACGATGAAGGTGGCGCTCATCCCGAAGCCGATCACCGTGGTCACCAGATTCAGCCCGGACCCCAGCATCTCGCCGCCCCGCCGCCAAGGCCACCAGAATCGGCACGTGGGAGGTGAAGGAGCGTTATCACGGCTGCCCGAGCAGGCTGCGGCGTATAAGAGCGGCGCGGGTGGGCTCGAGCTGCGTGTCCATCGGCGCGGGGTTTGGGATTTGAGATTTGCGTGGACCGCTGGCAAGGAATGATGCGCCGAGAGCGGAGCGGGCGGGTGGAAACGGAATCCGGGAGTTGGTGGGAGAGAGAGTCCCGGGAAATGGGGAGTATCTTCGTGTGACTTGTGTGGGTGGAGGTGCCTGCCTTGCGGCCTAGCTTAGCTGCTGCCGGCCGCCGCTGGCCCGCCGGTCACTCGCTGGAGATGTCTCGTGAAGCGGGGCCAGTGCTACTACGGCAGTGGGGTCGACTGTCTATGAATAGGGGCGTGCGCGGCCCACCGAGACAGCTGGAGAATAGTCCACGATTACGTAGCGGTAGTCGCTACGCTGACTCAGAGATTCAAGAAACGGAAGACATCTTCGGTTCTGTTTGAATACTTTAACTCAGTTACAACAAAAAGGTGTTTGAATGGTAGGATTAGATGAAGCGCGGATACGCGAGGCATCTTTACGGACGGTGCGAGAGGGTGGGAGGAAGAGGACGAGAAGCTTTAAAGAAGTGGGGAGGGATCTTGTGCAGGGAGAGCGAGAGAAAAAGGTGGGTTAGATGAAGCACGGATACGGCGAAGCGCCTTCACAGACAGTGCGAGAGGGTGGGAGAGAGAGGATGGGAAGCTTTGAGAAAGTGGGGAGAGATCTGCTGCGGGAAAAGCGAGAGAAAAATGGGTGCTATAAAGAAATTCCTACGATGAATAGTTACTTTTTTTTGAGAGTACGCCAATGACGTAACTTAGCTATAGAAGGCAGAAAAAAATGTATAAGGGATTACAGAAAGCCCGATCACCCCACGTCGGTGCTCCATGCTCACTCCACTCCAACTCTCTAAGTCAACTAGTCAAAAAAAGTTGGCACTCCCGTGCCTCCAGCTAGGGCCCATATTTTTTGCTCTTGGAAGATAATATCTACTGTACCCCATACGTCTCTCACATTGGCATTCTCAAATACACATGCATTGCGCTGTTTTCAAAATGTCCAACAGATAATCATAACAAAGGAATCAAAACCCTGGGATCCTCTTCCACTGTCATCAGTTCTAAAAAAAAGGAATCAAAACCCTTCCTGTTTGCTTTGGGAATCTGCTCGCGTCTCATAGGCCACCACTCTTCCAACTTAGACCGTAGCGAGGGTAGAAGGGCCATATCCAAGACAATCTTAGTGACGCATAGGTACCACACTTGTCTTGCAAAGACACACTGTAGCAGCAGGTGATCAACTGTATCCTTCTCCTGACCGCAGAAAAAACATGGGAAGGTCTGGTCTTGTAACCCATGTCGAAACCTCATGCCTGACGTCCATACGCGGTATTCGACAGCCAGCCACAAGAAGATCTTGTAGGACAGCGGCGCCCAACTCTTCCAAATGGCTGCAGACGGTTGGAACCGGATCCCTCCCTCGCACATCATTTTATACGCCGATGTCGCTGTGTACTTTCCTTCCACACACCACGCCCAGATGGTAATATCCTCTTGGCCCGGCGTTAGCTGCACATCCATTAGCACCTCCCATATACTAATGAATTGTGCCAGCTCCTCCGTAGAGAGCTCACCGGTAATGTCCAAAGTCCAAGCGTGTGACAACAGACCCTCCTGTACCACTCTCCTGTTTTTCACCTTGGTCTTAACCTTGCTAGCGAGCAAAGGTGCGACCTCATCGATGCATGCTCCGTTTAGCCATCTGTCCTTCCAAAACAAGATCCTAGAGCCGTCCCCAAGCTGCCATTTAACTAAATTGTTGAATGCCTGCAGAACATGGCGATCTGGTGTCAAATTGAGGCCCTGCCAAGGCCTAACGCTATCTGTTCTTCTTAACCACTCCCACCACAAACGTAGTGCAAGTCCATGTGTGCGCAGGTCCATCACTCCTAGCCCTCCAAGATATTTAGGCTTGCAAACTCTTTGCCAGGAGACCACACACTTGCCCGCACTGACTTCTTCCGATCCAGCCCAGAAAAAGGCCCGGCACCCCTTGAAGGAAATATGCCCTAGGGGCAATAATAAAGTTGTTATTTATATTTTCTTATATCATGATAAATGTTTATTATTCATGCTAGAATTGTATTAACCGAAAACTTAGTACATGTGTGAATACATAGACAAACTAAGTGTCACTAGTATGCCTCTACTTGACTAGCTCGTTAATCAAAGATGGGTAAGTTTCCTAGCCATGGACAAAGAGTTGTCATTTGATAAATGGGATCACATCATTAGAGAATGATGTGATTGACTTGACCCATCCGTTAGCTTAGCACTATGATCATTTAGTTTATTGCTATTGCTTTCTCCATAACTTATACATGTTCCTATGACTATGAGATTATGCAACTCCTGAATACCGGAGGAACACTTAGTGTGCTATCAAACGTCACAATGTAACTGGGTGACTATAAAGATGCTCTACAGGTGTCTCCGATGGTGTTTATTGAGTTGGTATAGATCGAGATTAGGATTTGTCATTCGTGTATCGGAGAGGTACCTCTGGGCCCTCTCGGTAATGCACATCACTATAAGCCTTGCAAGCAATGTGACTAACGAGTTAGTTACGGGATGTTGGATTACCGAACGAGTAAAGAGACTTGCTGGTAACGAGATTGAACTAGGTATTGAGATACCGATGATCAAATCTCGGGCAAGTAACATACCGATGACAAAGGGAATAACATATGTTGTTATGCAGTTTGACCGATAAAGATCTTCGTAGAATATGTAGGAACCAATATGAGCATCCAGGTTCTACTATTGGTTATTGACCGGATATGAGTCTCAGTCATGTCTACATAGCTCTCGAACCCGTAGGGTCCGCACGCTTAACGTTCGGTGACGATTGGTATTATGAGTTTATGTGTTTTGATGTACCGAAGGTTGTTCGGAGTCCCGGATGTGATCACGGGCATGGCGAGGAGTCTCGAAATGATCGAGACATAAAGATCGATATATTGGAAGCCTATGTTTGGACATCGGAATGGTTTCGGGTGAGTTCAAGCATTCACCGGAGTACCGGGGGGTTACCGGAACCCCCCGGGGAGTATATGGGCCTTATTGGGCCTTAGTGGAATAGAGGAGAGGAAGGGAAAGAGGGCGCCCCCCTAGCCCAATCTGAATTCGGTGGGGGGCCTCCCCCCTTCCTTCCCTCTCTCTCCCCCTTCCTTCTCTCCTACTCCAACTAGGGAAAGGGGGAATCCTACTCCCGATGGGAGTAGGACTCCCCCTAGGGCATGCCATAGAGAGGGCCGGCCCTCCCCTCCTCCACTCCTTTATATACGGGGGAGGGGGCACCCCATAGACACACACGTTGATCTCTTAGCCGTGTACGGTGCCCCCTCCACAAATTTCCACCTCGGTCATATCGTTGTAGTGCTTAGGCAAAGCCCTGCATCGGTAACTTCATCATCACCGCCATCATGCCGTCATGCTGACGAAGCTCTCCCCCGACACTCAGCTGGATCTAGAGTTTGTGGGACGTCACTGATGTAACGCCCTCGATGCGGCTATATCTCCTATATGTCGAAGCACGACTTAGAGGCATAACCGCATTGAAAGCAATGTCGCAAGTAAGGTAATCTTCACAACAACCCATGTAAATAGATAATAGGGAAAAAAGGTACATAGTTGGCTTACACTCGCCACGTCACACAAATACATGAATAACATTACAATCATCCAATACACTCATGGTCCGACTACGGTACCAAAATAAAAGATCAACCCCAATATGCGACACGGTCCCCGATCGCCCCAACTGGGCACCACTACTGATCATCTGGGAAAGACACATAGTAACAACGAGAGTCTTCATCGAACTCCCACTTGAGCTCAAGCGCATCGTCTGGAACGGTATCATCGGTCCCTGCATCTGGTTTTGGAAGTAAACTGTGAGTCACGGGGACTCAGCAATCTTGCACCCTCGCGATCAAGACTATTTAAGCTTATAGGTAAAGGCAAGGTAATATGTGGAGCTGCAGCAAGTGACTAGCATATATGGTGGCTAACCTATTCGCAAAAGAGAGCGAGAAGAGAAGGCAAAGCACGAACGAAGAACTATGATCAAGAAGTGATCCTAGAACAACCTACGTCAAACATTACTCCAACACCGTGTTCACTTCCGGGACTCCACCGAGAAGAGACCATCACGGTTACACACGCGGTTGATTCATTTTAATTAAGTTAAGTTTCATGTTATTTACAACCGGACATTAACAAATTCTCATCTGCCCATAACCGCGGGCACGGCTTTCGAAAGTTCAAATCCCTGCAGGGGAGTCCCAACTTAGCCCATCACAAGCTCTCACGGTCAACGAAGGATATTCCTTCTAGCGAGAAGATCCAATCAGGCTCGGAATCCCGGTTACAAGACATCCTCTACAATGGTAAAACAAGTCCAGGAACACCGCCCGAATGTGCCGACAAATCCCGATAGGAGCTGCACATATCTCGTTCTCAGGGCACACTCAGATTGTCCAAACTTCTGGTAGGCCAGCCCAGAGTTGCCACTGGTGGCCACTGGCGGCTGACGAGGTGGACCAACACTCAGAGGAGAACTGGCCCGGGGGGGTTTAAATAAAGATGACCCTCGGGCTCCGGAAACCCAAGGGAAAAAGAGGCTAGGTGGCAAATGGTAAAACCAAGGTTGGGCATTGCTAGAGGAGTTTTATTCAAGGCGAACTATCAAGGGGTTCCCATTATAACCCAACCGCGTAAGGAACGCAAAATCCGGGAACATAACACCGATATGACGGAAACTAGGGCGGCAAGAGTGGAACAAAACACTAGGCAAAAGGCCGAGCCTTCCACCCTTTACCAAGTATATAGGTGCATTAAGATAACAAGATAATATGGTGATATCCCAACAATAAACAATGTTC